CTGTACGGTTGAGCTTCTGGTCTGGCCCCAACAGCCGAGGTACCCATCGCGCTGAAACTTTGCTCATGCCCAAATGGTTGTGCAGAATCGAGTGAACAGAGTCGAAACTGATGCATAGGGCCCTGGCAATCTCTCGCACGGTCACTCGCCTGTCCTCCATCACAAGCTCTTCCACGGCTGCCACATTTTCTTCATTAACTGAAGTGGAGGGCCTTCCAGTCCGATGGTCATCATCGAGGCTTTCCCGACCACTCTTGAAGCGGTTAATCCAAAAATAAACTGTGCTTTTTGAGTCAGCAGCATCTCCCAAAACACACTGCAAGCGCTTGACAATATCAACAGTTTTGACTCCTTCCTTCCACAAAAAGAACATTATTGACCTTTGACTTTTCACCGCGTCTTCCATAATAGAAAAATAGCAAGGGACAGCACGGCCTATAACTCGAGAATGGACTGAGTGTATTGAATGGCATTGACAGGTCCTAATGCTTTCATGTTGGCCTACGTATGGGCTGACTCTTGTTACCTTAGGTCTAATCGTTCTTGTTTAATAAATAAATTCCTATTACTTTTCGAACACCCCTCGTATATATGTAACTAAATAACTGAAGATCACAAAACTGATGGGCAAGTGAAGGCCTCCGATGGAATTGAGCCATGCATGAATGCGCCCATTACAGAGTAATATGGGGCGCAAAATCACAAGAATCCCAAGGAATGACCCTTGTCCATGAATGTGTCCAAGATTGGAATGGACGCTGGGTTTGAAAGAGTTAAGGCGGGAAAAATAAGACATAGATAAATGCATATGTGCCAGGCTACACGCTTTCAAATGAGTCACTAGCCAGTATTCTAGCTTGAGTAGTTCGGGAGATATTGAATTTGTTTCAGGGTTTTTCTCATCATTACCTCCGAAACTTTGAAGGGGAAAGCTCAAAAAAATTGTTTGAGCTCGACTATTGAAATTTTGGATTCATCAGTTTCTCATAATTCGCAGTTCACACGATCTTTCACGACAGAATCCCAATCAGTGCAGCAACCACCTCTGGACTGCTTGCCATTCGGTAACGCTATGGATATATACAGTAGTTGGCATGCAGTGATGCCAAATTTGAAATTTCTCTAAATGTCCTCCTTGCCGTCGAATGCTGCTAATGAATGCTTTCAGCGACCGTTCATGCTTGCGACCGACAATCATCTTCTTGAAAGACTTGACACGACACATTCTCCTTGCATCTTGTCATGATTCAAAGCAGGCCTCTAAAGGGGAACGGAACTGAAGCCTGAATGGGGGAAAACGACGATTCCCGAAAAAAAAATACATATCGATCTTTATACAATGTCACATTCTCCACTCTCCTACGATCCTCACGACCTGCCTTGGATGATGTTTGGCGACGCACTTTCGGATTTTGCCTCTTCCTCCCTCTGTGACCGCGACGGAAGTCGCCAGCATCTGAAAATTCAGCGCTGGACGTCCTCGGACTCTTTCGTGCTTCCGTTTGGGGCTTCCGTCGTGGGTGACCGAGACGAACCAAATCCAGATACGACTACTACATCTCCCTTTGATTCCGCTCCCGGTCTGCCCTCGGGGCATCGTGCCGAGAGAACGCTACGGCCGGTGACAAGCCGACCGATAGGCCTGGATGCGGCACGACGGGGTCCGACGCACCCAGAGACATCGGATCGCCCCATTCGCCCCGGCCCCAGTAGCCGACTCATCGATAGTCACTCTGGGCGCACAGTGACTATCGCAGTCCTGATCGTCCTGGGCGACGACTGAGCCGGTATGGAGTACCCGAGCCGAACTCATCTTGCTGGATTTGGTTCGTCTTGGTCACCCTCAACGGAAGCCCCTCATCCGGAAGAACAAAATCCAATTATCTCTCATGTAACAAATGACAAACGTTCCAACTTCAAGAAAATTAATCAATTTTGCACAATCCCTGCCAGCGATTATCTGTTTTCAAGTGTTGGTATCCAACACTCCCTGCAATATGATGCCCCACATAGGTTACATCAAAGTATTTTTAATTGCTTCCCCACTCTGGAGTATAATAACAAGAGAGAGTAAAATGACTTTCCCTTAACACTACCACTGCCAGGGATTTAAATGAATGAAAATTTCAACATACTTTCCTGTTCAAGGGTGTCGTACCTCGTATGCAAGCCTCGTCGATCGAGTGACATTTGCATAAATAACTATTTGGAAGAAGGCGTGAAAACGGCTAATGCCTTATTTGGCCCCGGCGAAACGGATTCAAGAATGCAGCTGTAGCCGTATACGGCTGCGAATGTGCTAAGAAGACGAACCAGGCATCCATTGCAGCGCTGGGGCTGGAGGCTCCATTCAGGGACGTCAAGGTTTCGTGCGTCCGACAGGTGAGCTCAGCTCGTCCGGCATCCACCTGCCTCTGAGGATGTTCGTCACGAAGGAGGAAGCGTGCCCAGCCTTCCTCCCTGCCCAGCCTTCCTCCCTGCGCAGCCTTCCTCCCTGCCCAGCCTTCCTCCCTGCCCAGACTTCCTCCCTGCCCTTCTCCTCCATAAAAGAAAATTCCATTTCCTGCACTTCACCCATGGATTTATACTGGATATGACCGTGATCTCGTTAGCAACACTGCATGAAGAAAAGTGGCGTGGTTGGCATGGGCCCTTGTGCAAGGAATGAAACGGAGCCCGCTGTCCCATTTCTTAATCATTCGGCACAGTAACGTTGTGTCATCGCTGAGAAAAGGTTGATTTGAAAGGTTGAAACCCTTTGGTTTCATGGGAAAACTACACTCTGCTTCTTTTTCTCTCAGCTTTCTTTTGAAATCCTTTAAAATTTCCCATACCTTTGTATAAGCGAAGCGAGAGATGTGACAGGTGGCAGGAAAGTTAGACGAGAAGCCATATAAGGGAAGGAATTTTTTTTGTCAGGCACTTCTTTCAGGAAATCTGGTGAGTTTTTTTTTTTTTACTTTTATTTTCCGAAGCAAATTACGTTATTTACAGCAATAAATCGTCTGTTCTTTGATGACCATGGTAGTCCAGAGTGACCACCAAGAGGCCCCAAGAAAGTCACGGATAATTTTGGGAACTTCTCAACTCAACATGTTATAATAATTGCCTCTTCACTTGCGCCTAATAGCCTCTGAACGACTACGCTAATTCACGAGTAATCACCAAATGCCGAAAATGCGGTTGACTACGAATAGCTAGCATTTAATCGATGCTGATTCTTCGTTAAATTCTCAACTTCAACCAAGTCTCAACGTGTAAACCTTTCCTCAATGTTGACACCGAATGGGATACTATTACGTGGAAGTGATTTTTTTTTGCCAGATCATCTCTGGCAGCACATAAATCATCGTCGGTAGCTGAAGCCAGTGGCGGATAAATACATTTTTCATAGCCGCCCCATCTACTACCACCCTCCGTCCTATCGCCTTTCCTCTGGTATAAAAACCCTGAATATATATTGATATTTTACAGGAGCAAATAAACATTAATCTATGTGCTTCTTAAATAAATAAAAAATGGACTGCGAAACTGACCAGAGGAGGGTCAGTCGACCTCCCCGTCCCTGCCTTCCCCCATCTTCGGTGCATCATTCCTTCAGTCCTGGTCTGGTGACATTACAACTGTTCGGCTGGGTATTTGGAATCATTTCATATAATTTATTTCATTCCAGGTGAAAGGAAGCCTTACGGAATCAAATTCTTACGGTTATTGGCACAGAATCAACCCACTTTCCAGTAGTGAAGTTACAGAGCGAACAGCAAATGAGATATATCACTAATTCACACCATTTTCCTTCTTCCCATTCAAAAAATTACCAGGACAAAGACTTTGACTTTGACATATCCACGATTCATTGTGACAATTTTCAAGGTCCTCGGGATCGATGCTAGAGGTTGACGAGATTTGTCTCAGATGTTTCGTGATGATCAAAGAATACACACTGGAACCCAAATGATAAAGATCCTATCTTTCTTCATTCATGACAGAATAATGCAGGGGAACTGAGATGACACTGGAAGATATGCAGGTCCAAGTTTTCTAAACTCATCGACTTAGTCAGCATTTCTTATAAATAACGACAATACAGGAAGAGAAAGAAGAAAGAGGAGATTAATGCCAGAGAGTCCTGAGATCATTCACAAAGTCCTAACTCCTCTCACTGGAAGACAACAGCTGCTGCTCCACAGACAATACAGTGTTCTCATCAACATTTTAAACAAAACAAAAAAAAACATTAAAATGGAGAAAAGTCAACACTGAATAACAGCAGGGCTGCCGTTCCTCACGTCTCGTATTCGGGCAGCGGCTTCGCGATCCCCTCCATGTACACCTTCAACACTGCCTCGCACACAAATTTATATTGACTCTGGAAGAAAAAATGAGACAAAAACCATCAGTCAATGATGAAATATTAAAACTCAGATGCAACGGTTGAAATATCATAGCTTGAAAAGTCCACATTGTTGTCAGGTAACCCTCATGCACCAGATCTTTCAAAGCTGCACTCCATAATGAATTAATGAAATTACAGTGTTCAGTAATTAAATAGAAGACTCTGGTGCATTTCATAATAGCAGAGGCAGGCCACCAAATCAAAATCAGTTTTGGTGACCTGGAAAAATGTCACAGAGTCAAGAGCAGGTCAATTTTCAGGAAGGAGACTTAACCATTATACCACAGTTGCTTCTAGCTAAGTTCACCTTTGCTTAACATTGACACTCACTCAAATTGATTCACAAAAAGAATGCATAAGATCCAGGAAAGGACTTACAGGGGTTTGGATCATCATGGCCCTTTGCTCCCGCATCTTGGCCACGATCTCCAAGGGGAAGACAGGCTGGTTGGCCTCGACGAGGCACATGGCCGTGTCCATGAGGATGAGGACGCCCGTGCGCCCGATCCCAGCCGAGCAGTGCACCACCGTCGGCTCCACGTGGCCCGCCTTCAACCGCCGCACTTCGGTGACGAACGAAAGGAACTCGGTGGGGTCCTCGGGGACTCCGTGGTCGGGCCAGGCCTTGTATTGGAGTTGGGTCACTGCTCGCTCCTCTCTTGTCTGTCAGGCCGGGATGAAATTTATAGGATGAAATGGATACTTCTATCTAGGAGGCCCAATGTTCATTGAAACTCAAGCATCTGCTTATTGTGTTTCCTTGCTTATTGCCTCCTTACTGCATAGCATTGTGAAATTATTTTAAATAATTTTTTCTCATCTTCCACTGTTCAGCATAAATAGTACCTGTCCCATACTTCAACCATCCTATACATACCATTAAAAAAAATTTCTACACCAGTCTCATAGCAATACAATATGCTAATCATTCTCTGAGTTCAATCTCAACAATAAAACTAAGGCTCCATATATAACAAGTGATAAAGGGATGTAAGACTTTCAAAAGCAGACACAGATGCAAGCAGAATAATTTCATGCATCTCCAAGTCTCAATGTCAATTCTGAGTATTAAATTGCACACATCAAAGCTTTCCTCAATACAATAGTCCTTCTGGGGTCAAGGGGTACAAGGGAAAAAGAGACACTTGGGTTTCCATGACCAGCAATTGACTATAAGGCTTCAAATAATGAAATGGAGGTACCACTGTTCTAGGCTATACACTCCCATGCAGACAAGCACTGCTGAGAATCACTTGAGGGCAAACTTTAGGCTAGGTCCCTATTCTAGGGGGATATTCCTTATAGTCACTTAAAAGACATGCCAAAAATAAAAGAAAGCCAAAAACATACAGTGTGGGAGCGGAGAGTGAATTCTCGTGTGGCAAAGGAAGCAGATTCCTCCTCTTTCAAGCAGGTGACGGTGAGATCCCGGTAGACGAGAGATTCGTCCAAAGGTGGCCAGTAACGATGGCACTTGACCCGTCCTCGTTCCAGCACTGTGGTCAGCATTATCACTAGGGGACTGCCTCTCTCCCACACCATGACCCAGAAGTCCTCGCATGTATTGCTCAGAGGCCCTGTGGCAGACATTGAGGGAGGAGAAATGCTACAAGGATGGACCATATGAAATAATTTCTGCAAACACAAAGAAACAGTCAGTTAATCCTTTAAAAAAAAGATCAGGCATTCATACTTCTTACTCTGTTCAAGTTTATTGCAACATACTTAAGATATCAATGGCAAGCTTTCCCTGAAAGGAATTTTTTTTTTTCAAAATGTCTACAATCAATTAATTATTAGCATCTCATTCTACAAAGACAATAGAGAATACTGAAACACCCTGATCAGGTAAGCATGCAACAAGAAGAGTACACAAGAATTTCAAAAATAGTACTGAAAAAGGCTCTCTTCATAATTCAGATGGCATTTCCTATCATATCCTATTCATTGAAGGGATTCAAATCTCAGCCCACCTTGGGAAGCAATGTAACGATTGACAATTCCAGAGGCAGGGATCTCCATGTTAACATAATTGGCATTTATGTAGTCTCCATTCTCACACCCCTTCAGGACCACTCGTGTTGAGTCATCTGTGAAACAATTCAAACGTTCACCATTGTCAAAGTCACAATACAATCATATACTGACACCGTAGAAGTTCAGATTTCAGGAAATCAGTGAAATTCATCCAATTCCACTTGAAGAATCACTTCAATAAATTGCCCAGCAGCTCCTGGATAGATGCTTTGGCACCGGTTCCTTAAAATATGAAAGATTTAAACTTATATCTTAAACATGGTTGCTACACAAAGTTTACATTTAGATTTACTTTCCTATTCTGTTGTTCAAATTCTAAGGTAAGGTTCTGTATCTTAACAGAGAAAGAAGGATCTTTAAATGTAATGTGAGAAAAAAACATTTATCCCAGACTGATTTCCCAACAGGAAGTACTTTCTCATCATTTATGAGAAAATAGCACATGAAAAAAACCTGCATAGGGGTAGACCAATGTCATGGGTACATTAATCATGACAAGTACCATAAATGGAAATGGGGAGATGGGGAAATATTCTCTAAGTTATGACAAAACACTTAACCACTTTTCAGAACTAACTCCTCTCAGGGGTATCAGAAACATGCATATCTCATTTTCATAATAACCTCTCTTGTAAAACTCTCGTATTAATGCCATTACCTCTAGGTCAGTATCTTTAATTACTTCATACATTTATCTCATCAGCTAATGATTATGTTGACAGGTAATTGGCGGTATTACAAGTATTACTTTCCTATACCTTGAGCTACAGTGAATACTCCAAAGGAGAAACTCACAAGGTGAGATGTCTCGATAGCGATTCTTGTGGAGGTTCTGAGGTTTGCGAGACTCATCCATGGAGAGAGAGGGCTTGCGACGGAAGAGGCCCTCGAACTGGCGGACGAGGGAACCCGACTCGAGGGATTCGGACAGCAAGAGCATGCTCCGCGTCAGGGGGGTCGACGACGACGAACTGGACAGGAGGGGGAGCTGAGGTCCCTGCCCGTCCCCCGACGCCTCGGGGACGTACTCAAACGCCGGCTCTTCCACGTCCTCACCGAGGTACACCGCTAGACGCCACGAGAAAAGAAGGGGCTCGGGTCATCTTCTGCATCTCGTGGACACAAAGCACACATATCCCTTCCACATCATCCATTCACCATGTTAGAAAACTGCAGTGCTTTGCCTCAATCAATCAGTTATCCTGCTGCTGTTTGCATGTAATGTCACTAAATATTTGCTTAAATAAATATTACTTTTCAATATTTATGCATCCAAAAGAGGCTGCTTTAGAACAAAAGATTCACTACCACTCACAATTGGTATGAGAGCATCAAGTAAGCATTGAAATATGTTGTTATGTAGCATGATGGAAAATGAAGAATAAGATGTTAAATTTCATTTTTTTTCCCCAGCCAAAGCTGACATGACAAGTTAGAAGGCAAAAACAGCCAAAGAAGCTATAGTGCCAGCATCAAAGGACATCTCAAAATACACTACTGGAAGACACTACCCTTTCAAAATTAAAATGTCATATTAGCTACCTATGTGCTTAGATCTTTCCTTTTTTATTCCCAGGTACCAATCATGGTTGTGAACATTCTTCAGATTCCACCATGTTCATATTGGAAAATAACTGTATTTTGTAATGAACTCAATGGGGAAAGGAACAATATGCTCCCCCAATTAATTAATTTTTAGATGAAATTTTCTTCAGTTAATTTACATCAATAGATGTGCAGGTCTCACAAGAATCCCAAGTGAACATAATACCTATATACCTATGTACACCTATATACACATAAAGCTGTAAGAGACAATAGGTATTTCCCTCCTTTAACCCTGAGAATCCCAAGGTGTCAATGTATCAGCTCTTCCCAATGGGATAAAATTCTGCTCAGAAGCAAAGGCATGAAGGGAAATCACACAGTCTGAAGTCGTGGGGTGCATGCAAGCAGCATCCAGAAACGCTCTCAGATCGGAGTCACAAAACACACACACACACTCTCACACACCCTGGTACTGAAGGACTTAAGGACGTGGCTAAGATGACCTCACCACAAGAAGTGGAAGGACGGGAGGGAGAGGACGTTCGATCTTTCTTTCGCCGTTTCTTCTTCCTTTTTTTGTCATCGGACATTGAGCGCCCGCTCTCGTGACCTTTACTTAACCTTTTAGACATCTTTCTAATTCTTATGCATGCACCAACTTCACCAACTCATTATTTAAAAATCCAATTAAACGATTTGCAACCTGCAATGGAAGACAATATTGAGGGGGGAAAATGGATGCAGACCTGACAAGTTTAATTTTTTACTATAACTCACAGTACCCTCAGTCAATTCACCTCAGTATTTAAAGTTTTTAAAAAATTCCTGATGGGTCAATTTTGCACAGAAAATTTTTGCCTCCAGACAGCCCATTACCTATGAGGCATCCCCATGTTTAAGTAATAAATTCATTACAATACAATGCTGACAAAAAAAAAAGATGGATTTATAACTATACATTTCATGATACAGATAAAGGGTCTCTAAGAGAGAAAGCAGTTGAGGTCATGGGACTAAGGACCTGGCAAGTACAGGAACCAGGGGACTACATGACAGAGCAGTCTAGTCCTCCTTATGTTTAATTCCTCTGTTATATTATCCCTGTTATACAACATTCAGATAAATTCTCACCCTTCTGAACTCTCACAATCCTCCAATCTTCTTACCAACTGTTACAAGCGATTCCAAGCAGGCCGATGACAAATGCTATCACACACCAGATGAGAGTGAAGCAAAAGAGAGCTTACGATACTGTGTGTTGGCTCACCACCTCGCTTTATGATACTTATGATACAGATACTGTCTGTTAGCTCGACTATCCCTCTATTGGCTCGACTATCTCTTACATTATCTCAAGACATATAACATGCCGATAACAACTTGCATCAGAAAAATATTTCGCTTGCCATTCCTCCCACGACGCAAAAGTACCAGTTCTCACGCTTCAGGACCTCAAAAGTGCCCCTGACACACCATGCAACGCAGAAGAAGAAAAAAAAAAATCAGAGGAAAGAGTGAAACAGATCCCCGAGGCAGAACAAGACCTCTATATTTCAAGACGAGATCCTCCACAACGAAGAAGCCATCCAAAGCCCTCGACCTCCCCCCCCGCCACTCACCGTTCGGCCGAACCGTGAGGACCAGCTGCCCCGACTGCGAGTCCTTCGAGTTCCGGATGACATTGACCACCTCGTCGTGCGAGAGGGAGGAGATCTCCCTCCCGTTGATGAGCAGCACCTGGTCCCCCTCGTTGAGCCTCGGGTAGCACTTCTCGGCCGACGTGTTCGGCGCCACCCGCGTCACGATCACGGGCGAGTTCTGGTCTCGACCCCCCTTCACGTTGAACCCGAACCGACCCTGCTCGTCGGGTCGCATGCGGATCGTCACCAGCGACGCCTGGCACTCGTCTCCAACCTGGTCACCATCGAAAATACCATCCCAATCATTATTGTCACACGCTCTCGAGCCTCCAGATGAGGATCAATTTCAGCGATTCTCAACATTTTCCTAGCAACGGCACGCTATTCGGGCAATAAGCCGCGAAATTAACCAACCTAAGGCGTATGAATTCACTTAGAAAAGGTTTATTCTGCTCCAACACGTCACATCCATTCAAACATTTCAAGACTAATTAAAACTCTTCGTTTTTCATCTCATTTATATGCGATACCTGAACCTCCTTCCGGTAGGCCAGAAAATCTGATCCAGCTCAATATTTCCCCCACACAGATAATTTGCAAAGCCTAGACGGAACTTAAAACTTTTATTAATTACACATCCAGAAGACGCTCGGGTAAGCATCGACCGGCAGCGGCAACTTTGTGATATCGACCTCGACATTCCCTCTCGACACATGTTCCCTTCGTGGAATTGCATACCCTAAGTACGCAATATGCATCAATCTCGATCAATACAGCAAATATCCCACCCTCCCTGCCAGCATGGAGCGCGGATTTACGTCACAAGCGCCACTCGCCGAAACCAGACTCACTTCGCACTCAACAGATTGAGAACCGCTGACCCATGCAAACAAACACCTTCGACCGCTGCATTTTTTAAATCAGAAATCCTAAGAAATCGTTATTCAGCGAAGTACCTCATCCAACCACTCAGGACTCACGCTGGTTTACTCGAAAAGGTTCTCGAGCCGTCCAGACCGTTCAATTCGGCCGGCAAAAGCCGACACTTTTTTTTTAGTTAACGGTCCTTCAGTCCTCAACTGCTATTGCGGGGGTTCAATGACCGAAAGATGGCGCTTGCGATCAATGTATCCATCTCGGCACCTTCTTCCTATGGCATTGTGACCTCTACATAACTAACTTTTCGTTCCAAAAAAATTTCACTTGCGTGCGATTTTTACTGCTGAGATCAATCAATTTCACCCCACGATACCAATTACGTAATAAAAAAAAAATAAAAAAAAAGGATGCCTGTTGATGGTTAAGAATCCATGAACTCTTATGGAGGGAAAAGAGCTCTTACGCTTAAAGGGCCCTTTTTCGCACCACGACGAGGTTTCAGCATTTTAGCCAAAAGCACCTAACCCTCATTTCGTTTTTTTTTTCTTCAAATAATTAAATCCCAAATCCCAGCGAGAAGATAGACAAGAACTCTGACCGTGGACGGCGGCTCCTTGTCCGACTCCGACGTGTCCGTCTCATCCACGTATCCGATCTTCCCCGGGACCTGCGGCGAGAACGGGCCCAGCCCCCCGGCGACGCCGGTGGAGACCCTCAGCGGCGCCGGGGCGTGGGGCGGCGGCGTCGGCGCCGGCGGGGACGGCGGCAGCGGCCCGTGTCCCAGGCGCCTCTCTCGCTCCAGAAATCCTCCTTCGCTGCTGCCAAACGAAAGCGAAAATTGCAAAATTGCGATTCGTCTGCCGGCGGGAGACCCGCTGCAGGTCGCGGAGTCTGTCCGTGCATTCTCTCCCCTCTGATGAGCTTCTAATGAACTGTAGGAGCTAAAGGCTTCACGTCTGAGGACGCATACGCCGAGCTGGAAATTCGGCCCATTGCACAGAAATAATATTTCCGTCGCTGCTACGACTGCGCATGACGGATACTTTTAATAAGAAATTTTCCGCCCTGGAGAAAAAAAAAAATCATTTGAGAATAAAACGACTCAATCACCCCCAACGGGTCACATAACCACCCCCATTGTCTCGACACAACACGACAACCCCCCCTGCTAAACCCGACCTCATGCCCACGCCATGGAGACGACCCTCCCCGCTAAACCCGACCTCATGCCCACGCCATGGAGACGACCCTCCCCGCTAAACCCGACCTCATGCCCGCGCCATGGAGACGACCGCACGACCGGATCCATCCGCAATGAGGGTCAGTCGATGGAGTTCGCTCTTCATCGATCCATCATCAATACTCACGACCTCATATCATATATACACAGCATGCATTATGCACAACTTCTCGGCCGTCGATGCCGATCGACCTTTGGAGCCATTCACGCGTGATCGTGTGTGCTGAAAGGCAGCAAGGTCGGACTGCTCGCATGATCCAAGGTCCTCGGAAAAAAAAAGGTCTAATCCATGCCGAGCCGGAAAAATAACTCCATGGCTGTTAAAAAGGAACAACAAAAAAGTCTGCGCGTGCCATTGACAGAGAGACGGCCTTAGAAACCCTGTCGCATAAGCAGTTGACAGGAAATGACGCGGAGTCCTCAATGTGTTTCAGGGCCGATTCCATTGAATGCATATAGACCTCGAGATGGGAGATAACGAAGGAAATTCCCCTTATATATACGTCAGGGGGAACACCAGACCCAATCGAGCGGGTTGAACCCGTCCTCCTGCACAGGCCGCGAAAAATCTCGGCACCAGAACGTGTGAAACAGGGATTTTTCACAAATTAAGTACGCCTCAGACTCTCCACTCGGCAAGACGAACACGCTGAGCGTGAATCGAATGAAGAAATGTGTGAACACAACGTCACCGAAAGCGCTCTGACACACACAACAAATACATTAAACTCCCGCCACACCCATCTCAATCACCGCGAAACGTTCCCACCGCATACAAAACCCAACCCAACCATCCCCTCTCGTCCCCCTGCCCTCCCCCAGTCCCCCCTCCAGTCCTCCACCAAAACCCACACCTCCCCGTCCGACCACAGCAGACTGGAGGGCACCGAGACCGACTCCGGCTCCCGCGAGTGTCAACCCATACAGGCTCTACCCCCCTTCCCTCCATCTGACGTATAATTGAAAAGGCCTTGCTCCTCCTATGTAGGGGAATACGCGGAAAAAGGAGGGGGGCCCTTTTCTTCCCTCTCTTTCTCTCCCTTCTATGGAATTTATCCAACCATGTTGGCGGATAAGTCCTTGGCACTTCCCACATGATTCAGTCTGTCAACGGTGATTCAAGGCCTTGTCACCATCCTGCTTATAAATCGACCGAGCTCGTGTCAGAGAGAGAGAAAAAAAACCCATCCATGATTACTTTTTTCCCCCAGATGTCAACACTTGGCATTGCTAACTGTTGTGAGCGAAGAGTTCCTTCTGAGAAAGAGCACAAGGAGCGAATCTAATGCGCATCTTCTTCTATATTCTAAATTCGGACTGAAAAACGGATTTGCAAAATAAATATGCAAAGCCGGATTGAGGGCTAAAAAAAAAACACGAAGGAGGTGCCGAAAAAAACCCCAGGCGCATTGACGTCAAAATAATTCCGAGAAACTGGTCTTGAACTTCCATAATCGCAAAGGAGGTGACACCATGAAACATACACGAAACTGAGAAGTGTAAATCATTCTCGCAACATAAAAATGAACCACTCACTAGAGTCTCAAAAAAAAAGGTGGGAAAAAAAAATCCCAAGATCCCATTCGGGCTCGGCAACAATCGACAGTGACGAAGCAGTCTGCAGACTCCATTGAAGATGTCAAGTGGGTTCCAAGGTCGACTGATCTCAATCAAATGTATTTAAATCGGCGGAGTGAGCACTTGGGAAAAAAAAAATTGGAAAACCAGGCGACAAAGACACCGGTACATTTTAAGGGTAAAAATAAAATAAAATAAAATAAAACTTTTCACTTTATCAATACGGTCATACCCAGATAACAAAGTGAGCCAGATAAGATTCAAATTTCGAACATTCGTTTCCAGGTTTCCAGGTCAAATTCAGAGCAAAGGCATAGTCTAATCCTGTAGATCTAACTCGGTAATCTTATCAGACGCTCTCATTGAAGCACAAAAAAAATATATATATATATAAATAATACAAAAAAATAATACGTTCCTGACAACCCGGTAAAAAAAAAAAATACTATTATTATAGCAGAGAACTTTCTCCCCGGTAAAATTACACAGTGTCAAGTCCTACTTTAATGGTCACTCTCGGTGGGGTTTAATCCCTGACTTAGTCTCCTTTCAAGTGGCGAACACAAAGGACAGCTGACGCATTACGATACACAGCGCGGAAGGGGGTCCCCCCCGCTTAGCACAGGCACCACGCCCAAATCGCGGCCCCTCGGGCCCAGACGCTCAAATGCTGCTGGAAGCCTCAGGGGCAGCTCACGGGTTGCCCAAGCCCATGACTGGCACGAGGGACTCCAAAGGTGCACAGCCGGTGTTGCCCCACACGCCCACTCCCCGCGGAAGCAGGTGGGTCGCCCATCGGCCCCCGCCCGGGCTCGATCCCTCGCTTCCCGGGATCCACTCGGCCACCTTCTCTTAACAATTTAAATGCCTGATCTCCCCGAGACCAGTTCGTTCCCTGTGACCCATTCCAAGACTGAACTCAATAAATGCATACAAAAAAATCACGCGAAAAATTCTGCCAGTGTTGGCAGGCACCTTGAGCCAATTATAATCTGGGCCAAAAATTCCCAAGTTCAAAACAAAAAATTTCCTAAAAAAGACGACAACCACCCCACCTAACACAAAATAGCCGCGCGACTCCGCATAGCGGCTTTACTTGATAAAACGTCCGAACGGCTATTAATAAATGATATTTAAATATTACTTCTGCGACTGGAAAAGGCCTCGAGTAGCTTTTTTTATATTGCTTTTATATTGATTTTATATTGCACGCAATTAGATATTATATGTTTATCCGATAATACGACTGTTACACCGGTACATCCAATCAATTTTCGATCTTTCATCCTTTTCAGAGTCATTTCCCTCCCTTTTAATGTATGAACGACAGACCGTGAAACATCGGACATTCAAAAAGGTAAAAAAAAATCAGAACTGCCATTCTGAATGGAAGGCTGAAAATGGCGTCTTTGTTGACAAAAAAGGATATAATTATTGCGAAAGAATTTTGATGAGGTTTGAAGAGGGTAAATAGAAGCGTTGTCACGTTTTTCATTTCGCATCCTTTTTTTTCTTCCTTTTTTTTTTTACAGACAATACAGCCAATAGTTTCCGGTCTTCATCTTCAATGCCAACCACGTACCATCGGCAATAAAAATGAATTCAGAAAAAAAAACGCTGTAAAAAGGAAAGCATACCTAAAAATAAAAATACAATTGCAATAATTTCATAATAGTAAAAATATATACTTAAAGCATAAAAACCGGACTTTTCCAGCTAAACCATCCGCCATGAACCCTTCAAGACTTTCATGATTAAAAAAAAAATACCATGAACCATTCACCTTGTCGGGGAAAGCCCCAGCCCCGACTGGCACCCCAGGATCTGATCCCAGGCCAAAGAGATGAAGTCTCGGAGCCGGGCCCACTCGCAGCAGCACTGGGCCCCCGGCCCGTCCCGCACCGTCCACTTATTCGCCGAGCTCGGCTTCGCGGCGGCGTTCGCGGCCGCGTTCCACAGGGGCTTCTTCCCGGCCATTCGCGATCGCGAGTCGCGGACTGGGGGATGCTCGCAGTGCAAAACCTCGGGGGAAACTCGGAAAAATCACCTGCGAAAAACGGGTGAGCGAGACTTTCTGCGCCCCTCACTTATCGACCTGTGCACAAACAAAGGCACCTGTAAATACGATTCCTTGGAAGCAGACGACACGTGAGCGAGGGCCTGCCTCACTCCTCCCGTTATCGAACCCCCCCCCTCCTTTTTTTTTTTCTTCACTACTTCGGGTTCCCACGCAACCGCCACGGTCCACAGGTGACAACAAAACATCACCTTCCGTTAGTAACATGTGCACTCCCCATCACCAAGATTACGGTTCTCCCTTTCGCCAGCATCTTTTCCCCTCATCCGCGGCAGACTGCCACGAATCCAGGAATACCCTCCCCCTACCACACACACACACAAACACACAAGGGGAGAACAGCACACCTCTACACCCGGCATCGAAACGAGGTTGGCAACGAAGCGCGGGCGGGCACGGAGCACGACGAAAGGGGATCGGACGTGCGCGGAAGAGAGATTACGCGGGGACTACCTAACACCTGATACAGCACGACACACAGGCAGATGTAGGCCTAGGGCACGACACCGCGATATCTACAGCAGATGAACCGAGACAAAGGAAGACAGGAACTGCCTCTGCCTCCACCGAGGCTCAGGAGTAGAGGTGTCAGCTCGGGCCCGGGATCCGGTCCGATTCAATCCGATCCGGTTCCGTTCCGTTCGGTCTGATCCGATCCGATCCGGTTTGGTTCGGTTCAACAAGCGCATTTTCGGCTTTGATGCTCTCTAGATTTTTGTTTACTTGAAGAACGAAAAAAATAAACGAAAAAAAACTTGTACGAGCAAAATATACACGATGCCTGGATGGCGTTCATTTCGACGAATCGGGAATAAGGACCGGTTCTCTCCGCCGGGAAGCTCCTTTTTCCTAATTCATCAAGAAAATCCTAATTAACCTGGAATAGAGCCGGTCCCTGCGCACCCCGGACCCGACGACACCTCTACCCAGGCGTGAAGATCCGCTCCTCGGGGGCGCATTCGATCCATCGACCGCTGCGGGGCGTGCCCGACGCAAACCGCAGGTCGTGATAACGATGTGACACTCGGGAATTGGAACCAGAGAGCGGCGATAAAATAAACAAGCTCGGCCGAGTTTCCCAGCAGAGGCAAGATCAACAAACACAGGTGTCTAAAAAGCCCCTGGCGAAGCCCCGACCTCAGCCGCCTTCGTCGCTCCAGAACCACTTAAGAAGACTAAAATTAAGTACGGAAATTAAGCAGTCGACTCGATTTCCTCCCACAGAAGTCGAATTCACAGCTGGAAGCATTCATCCCGGGGCGATGAACCGCGTGACACAGGGAAAAGAA